GCAAGAAACGCTGCTCCGCGTCTCCCTGGTCTGCTGGTGACACGGAACAAAGCCGCGGCGCTCAGCTTTGCTCCGCGTCTCCCTGGTCTGCTGGAGCCCCCCGGAAGACGCGGGCGGCGGGACCTCGGTGCGTCTGGGCAGTCCCGCCGCCCAAGTCCTCCGGGGCGAGAAAAGCCCCGTTCGTAAGTACGGATCCAACATAAGTCGGATCCGCGTAACTTGGGGACTGCCTGTACTCCTTCCTAAACAGTCTCTGTATGTGTGAAACTGCTTGTTCCTTCCTAAGTGGAGTACTTTGCATTTGTTCTTACTAAACTTCATCCTATTTACCTCAGACCATTTCTCCAGTTTGTCCAGATCATTTTGAATTTCATAAATATCTGTTTCACTTACCTTTGGTAAACGAAATATCCAATCAATCATTCATTTTCTGATATAGCTGTAAAACTAATCTGAAAAATTTTCAAAATAAATCACTGTTTATAAATGTATAGTGTGCACTTCCTAAAAAAGAACATACATCTATTTTTGAGTTGCGAAGAATATGTATTAACCAACAAGAATGCACTTTTATGTAGGAAACCATGATTAAATGAAGTCTTCCTCACTGGTGATTTCAATCATGATTTAAATCAAGTCTACTCTGTTTACATCTCTTTAGCTAATACATTCCAGAACGTTGTTTGTTTGTTTTGCAGCAGTATTATATCAATATACCCTTCCAGCTTGACTGTGAACAATTGATAAGCTACTGTTTTTTCCCACCAGTTGTGCACCCACCATGTAGTAGATCATATAGATTATATTTCCTGTGTTTGCTTATAAGAAAGTCGTTTGAGACTGACTTAGAACTTATTATTTTCCTGTTGTGCTCCGTTATCTTTGTGGATACTGAATTAAAGATGACTTGTTTAATTCCCTTTTTTATAGATAGGTACTATATTTCCCTTTTCCAGTCCTCTGGGATCTCTCCTGTCATCTGGGAGTTCTTAGAGATAATTGCTAATGACTCAGATCTCTTCAGACAGTTCCTTAATAATTCTAGGATGTATTTGATTAGGCCCTACTGACTTGAAGACCTCTAACTTGTTTTGAGTAGTCCTGTAGCACCTTAGGGTATGTCTACACTGCACTGCTATTTTGGGATACAAGAATATCCCAAAATAGCTATCCTGTGTCTTCGCAGCAAGCCTGTTATTTTGGGCTCACTATTCTGACATCCTTGTAAACCTCATTCTATGAGGAGTAAGGGACATTTCAAAATAGCACTGTGTATATAGCGCCAAATGATGAAATAAGCTATTTCGAAATAGCATTGAAATAAGATTTGCAATTTGTGTAGCTCAAATTGTATATCTTATTTCGAGTTATGGTGCAGTGTAGACTCACCCTTGGAGACTCTAAATAAATAAAATATCATGAGCTTTCATGGGTAAACGAAAGCACAAGGTACTATATATATTTTTGTAAGTCTCTAAGGATCCACAGGGCTACTCATTGTTTTTTAAGTTGCAGACCAACATGGCTACCCCTCTGAGACTTTTAACTTCTCTAAGTAATTCTTTCTCCCTATTTTTAACTTCAGATCCTATCCCATTTACACTGATGTTTACTATGTCAGTTGTCTGATCATTGCTAAGCATTTTTGGTGAAAACTGGAAAAAGGTGGCATTTGACATTTCAACCACTGCTGCATTTTCTATTATTGTTTTTGCCTCCTCATTGGGTAATGGGCCCAATCTGTCTTTGATCATCATCTTGCTTTTAATGTGTTTGGAAAATGTTTTCTTGTTGCTGTTTTTAATCTCATTTTGTGCTTTGGCCTTCCTAAATTTGTCCATACTTTATAATTTACCCTACTTTCCTCTCTTTGTATACTTTTTTTTGTTTCAAGTCACTGAAGATCTAAGTCAGGGTGGTCTCTTACTGTATTTCCTGTCTTCCCTGTACATTGGAATAGTTTACTCTTTTGTCCTTCATGATTTCTCTACTAAAAAAAACCAGCCACCTCTTGAAGTTTTTCCTTTAGACTTGCTTCCCTGGGAACCTTTACTATCAGTTTTCTGAATTTGCTAAAGTCTGCCTTCCTGAAGTTCATTGTTTTTATTTTGCTGTTTTGGCTTCTTCCATTCCTTAGAATAATGAACCTTTCATGATCACTGTCACCCAAACTGCCTTCCACTTTCAAAGTCTCAATCAGTTCCTTATTGTTTGTCAGAATGAAATCTAGAACACTCATCTCTTTACTGTCTCCACCTTCTGTAATAAAAAGTTGCCTCCAATTCATTTCACTTTTGTTTAATCTGTGTTCTGTTGTATTTTCCCAAAATATGTCTGAGTTGTTGAAGTTCCCTATTACTACCAGCCTCTGTGCTTTAAGCCTTATCCATCTCTCTTCCTAGTTCGCTGGTCAAGGAGTAAACTCCTGCCATATCATCCTTTTTAAAATCCCTTTTAGTCTTATCTGGAAACGTTCAGCCTGTCTGCCTTCCCCTTCTATTGTGACTTTACTACAAGTGTATGCATCTGCAAGGCAACTGCTCTTCCCTTTTTTCCCAGGCTGTCTTTCCTGAACAAGCTATCCCCTTCTATACCAATATTCCAGTCATCTGAAATATCCCAATTTTGAAATATGCCAATTTTGTTGTAATTTTGTGATTATTTACTAATATTTCAAGTTCTTTCTTTTACTAATGTAAAAAGCATAGAGATTAGACAGACATCTAAGATGTTTGTTATATTTTTGTATTC